ACCTGTGGAAGAAGAAGGCAAAAAATATGACTTTTCCATCATCTTGAAACCAGAAGTTTCTCCCCTCTTTTTCCTTTTGGGAGAAGACAGGGCATCTACCACTGAATAGGAAGTGGAAGAAAGAGATGAGTCTTAAGATGAAGGCATCTGGGTGTAGTGGTTTTGTTGTTTTCTTGCCATGTTCATAAAGCTGCAGCTAGTATTCTGTTGTGAAAAGTACCACAGCTTTTTTACTCACTTATTGCTAGGGGTGATGGGTGCATGATGCAGTGTGCAGATGATCATTTATTGAGTAATACACTTGAAACCTGTTCCCGTATAAGTTCAATTAAAAAAAAAAAAGAATAAGTAATTTATAAAGCAAAAAAAAAAAAAAGCCCTAGACAGGTGGCTCAGTTGGTTGGAGCATCATCGCTTACACCAAAAAGTTTCAGGTTCAATTCCCTGTCAGTGCTCATACGTAGATTGTGGGTTTGATCCCAGATCAGGGTTGGGGCATGTATGGGAGACAACTGATGGATAGTTCTTTCTCTCTCCCTTCCTCTCCCTCTCAAATGAATAAAAACATATCCTTGGGTGAGAGTAAAAAACAAAAAAGAAAAGAAAGCTACAGCTAGCACACTGTTCTGACCCTGAACCAGGCCCTGTGCTAGGTACTTTGATATCTGCAATCAGTGTGATAATCCTGTGAAGCAAATGTTATTACTCATGTTTCATCCACGAGGAACCTGAAACTCAGTGAGTTTCAGAAATGAACCTGAGGCCACATCCTGAGCTCTTCCAAACCACAAGCCTGGTTTGCTTGACCCTAAAGCCATTGCTTCACCCACTGCATGGAGCTTGGCACCAAGAACTCACAAAAGCGCGGGTCTCTCATAAAAAAAAAAAAAAAAAAAAAAAAAAAAAAAAAAAAAATTTAAAAGAAAACCACAAAATCTGATCTATCTGGTGCATGTCTAGGCAGTTCTGGAAAGGAAACCCCAAGTAAATCATAGGAAAATTTACTGTTGCCTTGGAGCATGTGTTGACATATTTCTTGCCTACTAATTCACTTGACCTTTCGAAGTCCCTTGTAGTCCTCTAATGTTATTTTTTAAAATTCTTTTCTAGAATCTGATAGCTAACAGCAGACGGTCAGATGGCCGTACCTCTGTTATCTTCATTGCCTTGATTTAGTTTTCCCTTCCAAAAGTTCTCGCACACATTGGTTGATGGGATATACTTCAGGCTGCACTGTTTTTATTTATGATTTTTTTATGTGTGTTACTTACTCAGAGGCACCCAGGGGAAAGCTCCACAGACTTTCCTGATTACCAGATGTCGCCCTTTCTGTGTAACAACTGTCTAATCGCCACGGCCTCTTGCCAAGAAATGAGAAAAGCATATGCATTTGGAAAACCAAGCTGCGCCACGTGAAGCATATTAAGAAGGACGGCCTCCCCTGAATCCACATGAGCTTTCCTCCGTCTGAGTTTGTTTTGCTTAAAGATAAAAACTACACAGCCGTGTGTGTAGTTAGGACTAGCAAATGCTTGCGTAACCAGGAAGGGATTTGACGTGGGCTATCTCAACTTCATTATGCGCAAATTATGTTCTAAGTAATCTTTGAACTGGTAGAACATGTGTAGTCAGTGTTTGTTTTTGGAATATTTCATTGTTTATTTTAAATGGTGATTTATGATGGATGTGTGTTTAACATGCAAAATAATGCTGCATCCCCAGGAATTCTGGGGGAGACGGGAGGTTGTGGAGGCATCTCAAACCTCGTTTTCTTGAGCAGAGACATGGCATTAGTTATGCAATTAAGAAAAAGCAGCAGAGGGGGAGGTTAATTGTAGCTGAGCAGGTATTTAAATGAAGCGCAGCCATCCTCAAGCTCAGATCAGAGCTCCGTAGCCTTTTGAAAACATATCATATCACTGCGTTCTCACTTAATTTTGTAACAAGGCAAAGGGCAGGTTACTTTGGACTCCACCATGTGGACAATCCGAAGCCCTTGAAATGCTCAACAAGGTCAGAAAGCCCAAGTTGAATGTCTGAGATGTGGAAAGAGAGATTGTAAGGATTGCATCCATTTGCATGAATTTTAAAATGCTATCCAACACCTCTGAAGCTGTACCTTGGATGCATCATTTGAGTAGGAAGAGCCACACAGAACCATATGTTTAAATGTGGTGCTATCCTTGAGATATGAGTATCAAAAACACATGTTTCCCCTTCATTTAACTCTCATGAATCACTTGGTTTCAAACCATGGAGTGTACCGCTTTTCCTCTTATAGATTTCTTTTAGACAGCCTCATGTAGCACAGTAACTAATAACCATGACATTGTAATGAATGCTCAATTAAGCCAATTTTTTTCTTGGTTGTTAGGAATTTGGTCTTTGTTAAACTATGGAGAACTAGGTAGAATTTACTATTAAGTTTTCATGGAATATAAAAGTAGATCCTCTACATTCTGTTAGAAATAGTAATTATCATAAATTCATACCCCATGGGATTCTTTTGTCATCTAAAATTATAATTCAGCTGGAGAAGGTATGACATATATCTAATGGGAAAACTCTGGACACTGTCACACGCCATTTATATCAGTACATTTTATTTATATATGAAGAAATACGTGCATATACATTAAAATACATACATAAAATACATATACACTCCCTTTTGATATAAATATGCTGAAGAAAGATTCAAAATAGTCTATATTGAGTAGGCAAATGTGTCCTTTGCAGCACAGGGGACCCTGAGCTAGTTCCCTCAAGTCGGTTTCGAGAGCATCCCAGATGCCACTGTGTTTTCCAGTGGAAGCCCAGTGTTATGCCTTTGAAGTAAGATTATCTCTCGCAGCTGGGCTGCACATGAGACGTATTGCAGAGAGAAAGGAGGTGGTATAGCAGCAATTGATAAGGCCCAGAAACTTCTCTTGCCAGATACAATGTTTACAAGATGTATACATTTTTCATAAATTTTATGTAAAACTTGTGACGGATTGAATAAAATTTTTCTAAATATTAGAAGTCGTAGGAAGAGATTGCTAGAATTTTTCTTTCACCCAACAGATGGAAATCCATCTAGCAGACCAGTCTACAAGAATGGATTTGACCAATAGTATAGACTATATTATATGCGAAAGTAGAAATCAATACTGTTAAATTATTTTTTTACTACAATGTGATAGAAAAAAGACATCTAAGTGTACAAATTATTCTTCAACGGCAGGTCTTGTCTAACATGGTTGAGGGCACTTGCTTTAGTTCCCACCTTTGATTATTTCTAATAAAAATAATAATTACCTCATGTTGGTCCCCTGTTCAAAATTTTAACTCTCTTCCTAAGTCTGCCTGTTTGATTGCCTCTCTGGAATTCTCACGTACTTGATGGACTCTGTTTTGTCGGAGGGTGCAGCTGCTATCAGCTGAGGGTCGGGCCTTTTAGGAGTCCCCTGCCCCCACTCCTACCAGAGCTGGAATCTTCACTGGGAAGATTCCCATTTGGAATGGAGAGCACCATTTCTCTACCGCAGACAGAGATTAAGACTTGGATATGTGTGTGAGTAATTGCTTGTTGGCAACTTTTCATCCTTAGCTAATTTAGATCCCTTTCAGTATCTTCTGTGGTATGGGCATTAAAAAAAAGCACTCCAGTGGGAGTTAGAATGCTTGGGTTCCAGTCCTCATCTTCTACTATAACTAGCAATCATGTTATAATTATCCAGTGGTAATTATACTTAGCTAAGCCTATATAATAAAAGGCTAATATGCAAATAGACCGAACAGCAGAAAAACCAACTGGTCGCTATGACGTGCACTGACCACTAGGGGCCATGCATGGAACATGGCAAGCGTCAGCCATGGTGGGATGGTGGATCAGGCGAGCCAGGGTGCCAGACCAATGCAGGGCGCTGGTTGGTCACTGTCATCAGGGCAGACCTCTGGTAGTTACTGAAAATTCTTTGCTCCTGCATGCCACAATCCCACCTGTTGCTTGCACCTGCTGCCAGCATTGAAGCTGCCACTCAAATCCACTGCCAGCACCTGGCACTGGCCCAATTACTCAGTGCCATCAGTGGGTACGAGTGGCAGCTGCCAGCCTCAGTCACCCCTCTGGGCTTCTCCATCTCCCCCTGCTCCTGAGGGCTGGCAGCTGCCTCTCACACCCGCTGCCAACAATGGCCCCACTCACACCTGCAGCTGGCACTGAAGCTGCCACTCAAGCCGCCACTCCACCCACTGCCAGTGCTGGTTCCAATTACTCGGTGCCATCATTGGATGCAAGCAGCAGCTGCCAGCCTTGATCACCCCTGAGGGCTTCTTCACATTCCCCTGCTCCAGAGGGGCAATCAGGGCAGCAGCCCCTTGTACCACTGCTGGCACCGGCCCACGCCTTCAGTGGGTGCAAGCAGGTCCGGTACTGTCAGCCTGTGGGAGCAGCAGCTGCGAGAGCTGAGCTGCCAGCAGACAGAGGACCAGGGGGTCACAGTGGGAGGGGCTGGGTGGGGGTGCAGAGGGTAGGCCCAGACCCGCCCCTGTGCCTCCCACAGCCTTGTTGCCCTCGTGGCCAGTTCCTTTCAAGATGCAAGAATTTGTACCCTGGGCCCCTACTTGTTATTATAATTAGCAAGTTCTGTGAATCCTTAGTGTATAATATGAGGGACCAGGTCAGACTTGAAGGTTCTTTTCATACCTAATTCTGCAGACCTGGAATTATCTAATTTAAATATCTTTAAATCTCTGAGTTGAATTCACTTTGTGGGATTCAAAGGAATAATTTCATGTATTATGTAATGAGAAGAACATTCTGCTGTTAGAAGATGTGATCATGTGATATTGACAATATTTTCCCTTTTTATCTCAGATTTCCTTTAAAACAACTCACCCAGTGTTGCTTCAGTGTTTCCTGGGCACAAGTTATTTCATTCAAGACCAGTAACTGGAAAGAATGTTTTTATCTAACATGTCCCATTTAAAATGTGTTTTGTTTGTTTGTCTCTTAGGAAAAAGTGCTGCAAAGGGTATAAATTTGTTCTCGGACAATGCATCCCAGAAGGTATGTCATAGGGAAGATTCTGCCTTCTCACCTTCTTCATGACTAATCACTAGATGTCTATCACGTTCAGATGTGCCTGGAATGACGTGTGTTATCTGTGTCTGTTATCTGTGCATGTGTATATGTAATTTCTGTGTAGGGCATTATATCTTTCCAATGCTGATTTGGTTACATGTAGCATGCTCAGTCTAAATCATTACACAACATGTAATCATACATTGAATAATTCTGTAGTCAGCATATCACACACAGAACACAGCTGCCCTCCCCTACCTTTCTACCTGCTTTTCATGTGTTAAACTTAAAACCCCTTCACATGACCATCAGCAAGCCCTGTGTGTAGCCCAGCTCGGTAGAGACAGAGTCCCAGTTCTCAACACCCTCACCCTCCAGCTGAGTAGACAGAGTCTGGACAGCGCAGAATCAGAACTGGATTTCCTCATGGTTCCACGCCACCTTAGTCCATTCCAACTACTATACCAAAAAAATACCATATAAGGGCGACTTACATAACCAGCATTTGTGTCTCACTGTTCTAAAGGCTGGCAAGTCCAAGATCCAGGTGCTGCAAGATTCAGTATCTGGATAGAGCTTCCTGCTGAATACACAGCTGTCTTCTTGCTGTGTCTTCACATGGCAGAAAGGGCAAGGGAGTTCACTGGTGTCTCTTTTACAAGACCATTAATCCTATTCTTCAGGGCTCCACCCTTATGGCCCAATCACCTTCCAAAGCCCCACCCAATACCATCACATTGAGGGTTAGGATTCCCACTTATGGATTTCAGGAGCATGCAGGCATTCAGTCCACAGCACACTTCCCTATTAGCAATGATCTTTGGCAAGTTACTTTCTAAATTAGATTTTGTAGGAAAAGTATTAGTATTTGATTCATGTGGTTGTTTAAGACTATTACCGCATCTAAAGTACTTAGAAGCTTGGTAAGTAGCAGTTACTGTTATTGTTGCTGTTGTTATGAATAATAACTGAAATATGTGAGCTAGAGGCCTGCAGTGCAGCAAATGTTCAAGGGTGTGGGGGGGCACATAGCACAGAGGACCAGCGTGGTCGGAGATGGTGTCTGCCAAGGACCTAGACAAGTAGGAAGAAGAAGACTGCAAAGGATTCAGCACTGACACAGGGAAGGCTAAGAACCATTTGAAGAGCGTGAGATTAGTTGGCCCAAAGCTGGGGACAGGCAGGTGAGTGAGTGATGTGACATGCGTTTCTTTACTGTTGCCCCAGCAGCCAGGTCTCTGAGCCCAGCCAACTGCATGTTTTGTTATCTCATGAAGAGCAATTGTTTTATCTGTTAGAAATAAATGAATCCCTCCCGTTGATTGGTCTCTTCGGAGGAAGAAGGGCGAGTTCATTAATCCATAGTTCATTAATCCACCTCTGAGGAAGCTGGGTGAGGAAGACTGTTAGGAAATCTCTTCCCCCACAATGGTTTATATGGCCTCGGGTCTCTGCAAGACTGACTTTCTCACAGCCAGCCAATTCCATTGCTAAGAGCATGGTGGGGGGAAAAAAACCACAAAAGTTAAAGTAATTGCATTCTTTTATAAGCAAGCTTTTCTCAGTCACCAGCTGTGTCTTTCATATTTCAATGTGGCAGCTACTGAAAGAAAATTAAGTTTAGGCCAATCGTTTTAAGATCCCAGCTAAAGACCTTACCCCAACTAATTAAAAACACATTATATGGATACCACATACTTACAGTTCCTTTAAATATTAGGTATTGTGGTTTCAAACATCTGGGGCAAAACTAATCTTTCTCATCCTGAGGTGGGGCCACAGCACATATGATTAATGTAGCCTAGAACTGAGTATTTCCAGGAAAAGTGGTCTCAGGAGCTGAAACCTGCTCTGTCGAAGCTAATTCTCTGCTCTCTTGCTTTCGCTAGAACACTTTCAAAAGTTAATTCATTTTGCTGAAACCGGTTTGGCTCAGTGGTAGAGCGTCGGTCTGCAGACTGAAAGGTCCCAAGTTCGATTCCGGTCAGGTCAAGGGCATGTGCGTTGGTTGCGGGCACATCCCCAGTAGGGGGTGTGCAGTAGGGGGAGTGCAGGAGGCGGCTGGTCGATGTTTCTCTCTCATCGACATTTCTAGCTCTCTAGCTCTCTCCCTTTCTCTCTATAAAAAAATCAATAAAATATATTTTTTAAAGTTAATTCCTTTTAATTTGTAAAAATAAGTCAGTTTTGGCTTATCACTTACTAAAAATATATTTAGTCATAAAGGTTTCTATGGCCCAAAAATGCAATGTATAAATATAGGATCTCAGAAAAGATGGTGTGTTAGTTAGTGTTCTTGAGAGATATTAATTTTTAAAGAATTGGCTGACAAGATGTGGAGGCTGGGAACTCCAAAGTCCACAAAGTAGGCCAGCAGATTGGAGACCAAGGAAAGAGTCAGACTTTGAATCCAGAAACCATCTGGTGACAGAATTAGCAGGAAAGCTTCATCTTTTCTCTATTAAGGCCTGATTGGATAAGGCTCACCATCGTTGTGAAGAGCAATTTGTTTTACTCAAAGTCTACTGATTTAAATGTTAATCTCATCTGAAAAAGATCTCCTCAGAAACACCTAGAATTTTTAAATAAATACCTGGGTAGTGTGACCTAGCCAAGTTGACACATAAATTAACCTCATAGATAGTAAAAAGAGACTAGAATTTCTTTTCTTTTTTCTTTTTAAAAAAAACAAAAAAGCTAAATAAAGAATAGAAGCTGTAATTAAAACAGTGTTATTGCCTCATAGTGTGGTTCTGGAAGTCAAGAGTCAGCAAGCTATGCTTATGGGCCACATCTGACCCACTGACTGTTTTTTTTTTTTAAAATAAAGTTCTATTGGGACATAGTCCTACCCATTAATTTAAGTGCTGCCTGTGAATGCTTTTGCCCTACAACAGCAGAGTTGAATAGTTTCAACAAAGGCCTACAAGCTAAAAATATTATCTGGCCAACCAGATATATTTTGCCCCCCTCCCCTGCTGCTGTATTATCTTAATTGGCCACAAGATAGGATAATCTGATTTGTTCTAGATCAGTATAAAAAGTTTAGTTGAGTATAAACTATAGGAGGAGAGTGGTGCTGTACTCCAGAGCAGTGGCCACCAACCTTTCAGACCTCACAGATTACCAGTGATCTGCAGACCACCGGTTGGTGACCGCTGCTCCAGAGGACTCAGTCAATGTCAGAACTAGGAATTTAAAAATTCCCAATACCCAAACAATGTCAGAACTAGGAATTTAAAAAGCAGAAGAGCCAGCAAAACTCTCATTGTGTGTCAGGCATTGTGCTTAATGCATCATCCTATGTAATCTCATAAAAGCATTCTGAAGTCGGTACTGTTGTTACCTATTTTATAGGTAAGGAAATGGAGGCTTAAAGAACCCAAGATCACAGAGATTGTGGCAGAGTTGGCAAGGTTGGCTCCAGAACTTGCACACTTCGCCTCAGGGTGGCACCCTCCTAGAATAGGGCCTGCACAGAATAGCATTTGATAACCATGTGGAAGCCCATGAACATGAGAAATGCAGGGCACAGAACACTGATGCCTGGAGGTGATGCTTAGTTAAGGAAGGTGTGTTTGACCAGGGACACACACAGGCAAAGAAGCCTGGAATCCCCATCTTAGGGAGAAGCACTTAGGGAGGCTTCCCAGGTCATCATGAAAATGGCATGAGCCTTGTCACAAGGACCCCGCCCAAAGCAGGAGCTGCCAGCCCAACATTCCACCTTCATATGTCCCAGAGCGAAGCCAAGGGTAGCTTGTCTGTCAGCACTGGGGAAGATAGTGCTGTGATTAATGAGTGGCTGGATCCAGTCGGCAAGTAAATGTCCAGCCTGAGCACCTGACAGAGAGCCAAGTCCCTTCAGAGGCTCATTAACTACCAGTTTGTAAGGATGGAGAGCAGGAGATGCTTTGAGTCTTTACAAGTAATAGACCACCCACCCAATCCACACAGGCTTAGGGCCAGAATGAGATCTCTAGCTCTTCAACCTTACCCAGCTCCTTCTCAGCAGGCAGAATCAACCCCTGGCATGCACACCTTCAACCCACACACACTCTAACTCACACACATCTCCATTCCAAAACCTCCCTCACTCTCCTAAGAGCCAGTCTGAGTTCTAGTCCTGCTCTCCACATTATAAGGACAACACCCATCACCAGGGCCGGCTGTTTTTGAGTGTTCCACCAGAAAGGACTCCCTGTCTCTACAACAGTTGATTAAAAACAACAACGAAACAGGCCCTAGTAATGCTGTAGAGCAGAGCCTAGCCAACTAGAGCTCCTTTGCTCTTGGGATGAGGGACAAAGACCAAAAGATGAGGCGGTGACCCCCCATGGGAAAATTACAAGTGATGTTTGCCAAAAAAGTCTGTTCTAGACCAGAGCCAGGTGACCCCCCCTCTGCCTCAGAGTGACTGCAGTTCACATGAGCTCACACTTTCCTCTTTCAGATTACGATGTGTGTGCCGAGGCCCCCTGTGAGCAGCAGTGCACAGATAACTTCGGCCGCGTGCTGTGTACTTGTTACCCGGGATATCGCTATGACCGTGAGAGACACCGGAAACGGGAGAAGCCCTACTGCCTGGGTATGTTGGCAATGCATGTATTTTTCAGCTCCCGACACTGTGCCTCTTTCAGATGAGTCTATGCTTGCGTGGGCATTCTTCATCAGTGGGACCAGCTCCCAAGGGTCGTTTTGATCTTTGATTCCTGCCCTTCCCTCCTGATATTTGTTGGATGAAGTGTGTTGGCATTATCTTAGGGGATCACTACCCTTCACCTCAATTATTGAGATGAACGATGGCCACAGAATTCTTCAGGGAGTTGGTACCAGTCATGTCTTCATGGGCAGTGAGATATATGAGCAAGAAAAGGGGAACATTACATTAGCAAATGTAAATAAGGAGAGTAGAAAACAGAACATTAAGTGGGAAGAAATGTAAAAACAGAAATGAGATTAAGCATTCTCTCAGAAGAGGAGTAGGGGGAGAGTCTGGGAAAGAGGACATCCATGTGGCAGACAGGTAAGAAGGAGCTGAAGCCAGCTGCCAGGGATGCAGCTGAGCAAAATCAGCACTGCCATTGTCACGGGCATGTTCCCTCTCCCAGCCTGCACTCTGAATTTCTGAGGCAGGTTTATTGTTCCCTGGAGCCATGTTTCAAAGTGTGGTCAGTCCTGGCTAACCTATCTCAGAAACATCTAAGGTCCTCTCTTTAAAAAAAAAAAAAAAAAGTGGTCTCCCCTCCAGACTCTGAAGGTGGGACTGGAAATCTGCATATATGCAGATACCTCTAGTGATTCCCATGCACAGTCAAGTTAGACCATCAGCTTAAAGTTGAACCTAGGAAACTGGCGCATGACCCAAGTGGAAAATAAAGGAACTGCAATGAGCAGGTGCTCTAAAGAGAATCATTCAAAAGAAGTTCTAGATATTAGGTCTCCTAGATATTAGGGCACCTTGGAAGTGCCCCATGCTGACCAGGAATGGGATTGAGGCCACCAAGTGAATGGAGTGGGGACCCATGGCCTCTCCTACAGAAAGCATGGGATGCCACTCTGAAACCCTGACGTCCCAGGCACAAGGGCTCATATTTCTGGTATGGTGCCCTGTTCTTTTCATTTGGAGGTCAGCAAAGCCAGCTTTCTGCTGAGTTCCATCCATTTCTATCTCTCAGCCTCCTCTGGACATAAAGGCAGCTCCACACTTAAGTGTAGGGCAGGGGCACGTGGAGAGCGTGGTCAGCCTGAGAACTGCAGGGGAGGATCCAGGTATCTACAGTTGATGTAGCATGTACTGCCAAGCGGAAAAAATGACCACATGCCCCTCGGCACACACACGGCCTGGCAGCTGATCTGTTGAGTAGTTGTTGGAATCCGGAAGCGAGGGCTGGGCTGAGTCATCTGCCACATGTGCGCAGAGTCTCCCACTCACTAACAACCCAGGTCTTCAGTGAGTGAGAGAAACCAGAATTGGGCTCCCTCTCTTCCTCCTGGTGGGGAATGGTTTTGTTTCTACCCCACTCAGTAGGGGAGCAAGTCTGTGATGTGCTCCATTCACATGGACTCTTACCGGTTACTTGTTTGATGGTCTCACAGCACATTTCCAGAGATCACGAGGAGTCTGTTTGGCCCATTGATGAGGCTGAAATATCCAGGGGAGAACTCTCTCCGTTAGGCCCATTAGGATTGTTTTCTTTTATCAGAAGTGGCTTTTCCCAGGTACCATCACGTCTCTTAACTGGGAAGGAGTCCTTCCTAAGTGGCCTTGGGTCACCAAATGCTACTTGGAATGATAGCCAAACATAAAACCTGTGGCATACTGGGTCCTTGCAGAAAACCATTTCCATAATGCTCACTTTTGCAGAAAACTGTTTCTATGATGCTCACTTTTCAAAGTGTGTTGCCATTGGGGGGCTTGTTTTCTCACCTAAGGAGCCGTATGAAGTGTGTAGGGAAGTCTGCATTATCACGGGTTATAGGTGAGAACTGTGAAGGCTGGCAATGCCTGTGCCAACCACCTGACTTGGTAATGGCAGAGCCGCAACCAGGAACCCCATCAGTGATCGGTTGTAACCATGGTGGAGCTGCCTGATGTCTTCCTGTCGCTCAGGTTTCTAGCTTCCTGCTATATTCCAGGCTTCTCTGCTAAAGTCTGACAAAATGTGTTTTGCAGACATAAACATGTCATTTGTGTTGGAAGTCAATTCTTGGAAACTAAGTGTTGTCTGAATTTGGTCCAAACCTAGATATCGACGAGTGTGCCACCAGCAATGAGACTCTGTGTGCACACATCTGTGTCAACACCTTGGGCAGTTACCGCTGTGAATGCAGGGAGGGCTACATCCAGGAGGACGATGGGAGGACGTGCATCAAGGGAGACAAATACCCCAATGACACTGGTGAGTGGAGTAAGTATGGTGGGTGAGTGGCTGGCTGGCTGGCTGGCTGGATGGATGGATGGATGGACGGACACTAAGAAGAGGTATTTATATGAATGGAAAGTGTGGTTGGGTAAAAAGAGGAGGGTAGGACATCAGGTCAAGTCTCTCCTAAAGAGACCTGATGAAAGCAATGACCGTGAGCAGCAAAGTTGTGAACTGGTATGTGTTTGAGGAAGCTCTCCACCAAGCAGAGGTGGTTGCTCATAGATAATCAGTAGAGCTTAGTTACTTGCTTAGACTAAACTAGGATGAGCAACGAAGAGACCAGAAACACTACGTTCTCTCAAAAGAGAGTGGGCTGAATATAAATATGAAACATTTCCATGTAAGGAAGCTATCTACATCAGTGAGGCTCAAAGTACATAGTCCATGGCCCTGTGCCTGCCGATGAGCTATTTGTGATTTGGTTCAGGACTGGATAGAAACAGAAGTTGAGAGTGTTTAGAAGTTTTTATTCCGATTTGACAGAGAAATTTTGTTTAGATCCAAAGATTTCTGCTGATATTTTATGCTTTATTTTTCTAGCAATTTGTTTTAAATGTATTTTGCAAATACAATCTCAGTGGAGTGGATATTTTTAAAAAGCTGGCCCTTCTTCGCAGCATTTGAGAAGCTGATTGAACTGAGATGTCTGATCCCTAAGGATATGATTAGCTTGCATATTGAGTTACTTCGTTATTTAAGTTTGGAGGGGGAGGGGGGGGAGAGACAGAAGGAAAGAAAGGAGGTAGAGGGAAAGGAAGGAAAGAAGAAGCCTTTGTGCTCCCTATCCAAGGCTCACAAGGCCAGGAAGTTTTCATCTTCCAGAACCCAGGGCTCAGATCCTCTCTGTCATCCTAAGGAGGGAAAGGGCCTTAGATGCTGGCGGTGGCAAGGCTGCCTGGGTCTGGGCCATCTGTGGGTGGGAGGGAGCGAGCCCCGGGTACCAGGAAATAAAAGGCCAGAACTGTCTGGGTACTCAGGAGCTAGTTAGCGATTTTGGGGACATAGTCTGAGGTTCACAAAGGGGCAGAAGGCAATTGCCATCAGCTCACCACAACAAACAGCTGGGGACCAGCTGCCTCCCACAGGAAAAACTACAAAGCACAATTATAAGGTTGAGTCATGAGGAAGCCACCATATATTAGAAATAGAGGCAAAATATCTGTTTGGAGCCCTCTCAGAATTGGGCAATTTGGGATAATGTGAATGAATCAGAGGGCCCTGTGAAATCTACTGAAAGCCGGAAGCACGCGGGACCCGAGTGCCCACAGATGCTTAAAGCAGAGGCCCCTTGGGGGAAAAATATGTGCAGGTGGCTTTTCTTATAATTCAATTTAAATCCCTTTATTTATTTTTTTTCATGGTGGAGAGGGTGGGGGAAGGGTGGGATGTGTAACTTACCTCTTAGATTATGTTCTATTGAAAGGGAGAATCTCACTGAAAAAAATGAGGTGCAGCCTCTACATCACTGGTACATTGACATGTGGGTCGACTTTAAGAATTAGCAGCAAGAGTGCAGCATTCCCATTTTTCATTCTGGAATTGGATTTCCAGCTGCTCTCTGAGCCAGGCAGCCAGAGAGGCTATGGGCTACTCAGCCTGCCAACTTTACATGGGCATGAGGGGCAATGCTGAGCAAACCAGTCTAGAGCACAACCATCAGAAACAGCAACCAGTGCTTGCTTACTACCGAGTGTCAGGGTGGCCTCTGATGCTAGGGATCTGGTAAGACCTGGCCCCGCTCCTCCAGGTGGGACAAAGTGACCTGATCTTAACCAGCAGAGACCAGAAAAGCAGAGACTAGTGTAAGATGTTATTCACTGGATTTACTGGTTCTTTAGTCTCAGTGGCTTCCACCTCTTGCAATGATTCTTAGGTTCTGCAACCACATCCCTCTTCAGTCTCATACATTGTACTGCTGTATGGTTCCTGAGGGATGTCGCAAGCAGGGCAAGGTAGCCTTGGTGGCACTCACTGCCTGCTTTGCAGTGTGCACGCAGGAGGGGCCCAGCCACAGGGCAGGGGTACGGGAAGGTCTCACTGCATCTTTAAAATTAGTAACCTACCCAGCTGGCATGGCTCAGTGGTTGAGCATCACTCTATGAACCAGGAGGTCATGGTTCAGTTCCCAGTCCAGGGTACGAGACTGGGTTGAGGGCTCAATCTCCAGTTGGAGGTATGCAGGAGGCAGCCGATCAATTATTCTTTCTCACCACTAATGTTTCTATCTCTCTCTCCTTCTCCCTTCCTCTCTGAAATCAATACAAAAATATATTTTTTAAAAGATGAAATTAGTAGCTGATAGTGCTCAGTTTTGAGACCCTGCTCTTGTTTCTGTCCCTGAGACACAATTTCTCAAACACATAAAAAGTTTCAGTGCAAGAGATCAAGAATTTTAGTTAAGAGATGACCGTTTAACTTCTGCAGCTGAGAGTTCAGTAAAATCCTAAGCAGTCATAATTAAAAGGGTTTTTTGGGTATCTTCTCTAGTATTAGTTTCATGTAAAGGCATACCATTTATTACAGCATTTTCTCACGTTGTGTTCTATACAACTTTGGGGTCCTATGGGTATTGCTGAGCCTTTCTTCCTTAAGGAGCTTCTGTGTTTAGAGGTTTGGGGAAGAATGTGTTACTGCACCCACTTCTTAAGGATTCATGATGCCAGTGCATTAAAAGCTCTGAGAGATGGCCATTTCCTACAAAAAAAAAAAGTTAATTTTAATGAAACCTGAATTACCCAAAATTAGTTTCTTAAGAAATACCTTCTAACATCTCCCAGTTGGTGGTGTTCTGGAAATTAGAGTTTGGAAAGTTCTAACTTACTAGTGGTGGGGGTTTTCCCCAACCTTACTAAGTGTTCAGCATTCTAGAGAAAGGGGCTGTGCATAGATGATTAAAGAGTCCGGAGACAAAAGATAATTTTGAAAGGCATTGGGGGTCAGAGGAACTTCAGCTGAAGGGAGCTAAAGACTTCTCCTTGACCAAGGACCCGTGCTTTTATTCACACGATTTATCCTAAGGGAAGGTGGACATATACACTTCAAAGGGTAAGGTATCAAAGAGTAGAATATAGAAGCATTATCAGTTTGGGGAATAGTCTACAGCTGTTCAGGTGCTTGGCCAACTGGAGGCAATAAAATTCCCTGAGTTGTCTGGCAGTTAGCAATCCTATTCAGGTTTGGGGGAAGTGGAACTCTTGTAAGTATTACATGCTGGAATTGGTTTCCAACAACTAGCATCAAAACTCTGAGCTCTGGGGCTCAACTTGGTAGGTCATCTGGTGGACTTTCAGGGAAGTTTGTTTTTGGATGCAGCCACGAAGTCCAGAGGGAAGCCATTCACTGCAGGCATTAGAGCATCTGATGAACAAAACAGGGCAATACTCCTCCTCTGAGAGAAAGGAGGTTCAGTTTACAGAGGCTGGGAGGGGGTATGCTTCTGTTTAATCAGAAAGAACTGTCTGGTGGCTGTGCTTCATTGTAACGAACTTCTAACTGCCGATTCTCTCCCTCCTCCTCCTCCTCCTCTACATATAACAGCCTCAAATGACTTTTTTAAAACCTGAAAGGTCACTGTCAGTTGTATCTTACTCGCCCCGCTTCCAGAAGCAACATCATAAAAGAATTTCTCAGTATTTCATGTTCAGTAACTGGTCTCTATTGAATTCACCACACACGCACAGAGGACTTAGCATTTGGTTTTAGTATTTTACTAAGAAAAACATTCCAACATGCGTAACCAAGGAAAACAGGGAGTCACAGCCTGAGAGGAGTAATTCATACACAAAATTATGAAAAAGGACAGGCACATTGCTTGCCCGGAATGTTAAAGTCATAATTTGGGCCACCGAGAAAGTGAGGGGCTGGCTTTGGCGGTTCTGGCCACAAAAGGCAAGAGCCCTGGATGACAGCAGTGATGCCCCAAAAGTTCCTTGGCGTAGAAGTTAGGAGAGCTGGTAGTTGGAGCTGCGTTAGTATTAACCAGCTGTCGTGGGCTGGTTGCCAGGCCTCAGCTTCCTCCTCTGTAGACAAGAGGGTTGGACAAGGGGAGCTCTGAAGACCCTTTTGCCCTTTGCAAATATTTTTTTTCCAGTGTGGTGTGATGTAGCTTCAGGAAAAGTAAAATAAGCTCTCCCAACCCTGGGAGTCCCTGTGCAGTCACGTCTTTGTGCTGCATCTAAGCGAATGCCAAGACTCCAAGACATGCCCAGCTTCACTAGCAAAACAGAGAACTTACTATATCTCAACAGATGAAGCACCAACGTCCAGCTATTCGGCTCAGCACTAAGAAAAGTTACGGGCCAGATGAGCCTCATATCTGGAACATAAGAGGCAGTTAAGTGGTTTCATCTGTTCTGGACTAATAAGTCCAATATTTCATCACGGTCAATTTTTTTTTTTTTGGATGAGGAGGTAATGATTATTAAGTATAAACACATGATGTAAAACCTTGCCTCCTCCTGTGTGTGTGTTGTTGTTTTTTTTTAAAACTTTGCATTGTCCAATGTCTGTAACGTTACAGTTAGAGAAATTTAAAGTCAAGGACGGCCTCAGCTCTTTATCCAGAGAGCAGGCGGAGAGCAGAAGGGGCTGGCCGTGGAATTGTGTCTCATAATGGAAAGGTCACTGTGCACACACAGGCGCAGTGTCTCGGCTGGCTAATAGGCAAGAATGGCTAGTTCAGTCACTTTGATAATCTGAAAATATGTAGCTGGAACCAGTTTAGTTACTCCAGGGAGTCTATGCAGCCCTCTCCTCCCCCCCCCCCCCCAGGAGAAGAATTAAGGGCAAGTCGGCTCCATAGTAATTAGCTATTTATCAAGTTTTGTTTACTTTCTGATAAAGTGACCGTGACCTCCAGTGCCACTTAGTACAGTTCAAAGTGTCAGGGACGGCAGGTGTTTCATATAACTTTCAAGCTCCACTAATCCATAGGTCAGTGGTTCTCCTCCTGGGGGGGGCTTGAAAAAATGCTGATGCCAGGCCGTGCTGTGACTCCCCGCTGGGAGGGGTATAACACAGTCAGTGGAATTTTTAAAAGCCCCCTAAGCAGTTGCATGTGCCACCAGGGTTGAGAACTGCTCCCAGGGCACAAATCTGCACCATCGACTTTTAAAAACAAACATGCTTTGTTCGTTTGTGACACTGCTGATATGAAGTGTGTTGGGAACATTCTTTAGTTTTTCTAAGTTTATTAAATATTACTAATATGGTATGTAAGGAATTCTATCTCTAGTGCTTAGGATGTATACACTGCTCAATGTCAGTAAAAATTAGAGCTATCTGCCCCCATGTGGCTAATTGATAATATTGCACCTTTATCTGAGCAGGTTGGAGCAATATATTGTGACCAGCGGCCCAGTGCATGAATTCTTGCACCTTGAAAGGAACTGTGGGCTGCGAGGCTGCTGTAGGCTTAGGAACAGGTCTCGACCCATCCTCCATGCCTCCACCCACTGCTGCCCTGGTCCCCTGTCTGCCAGCAGCCCACAGCCATCACCACCAGTCTCACTCGCTGGCCCCACTCACACCCAATGATGGTGTAGAGCAATTGGGGCTGGTGCTTGCAGCGGGTTCAAGTGGGGCCAGCACTGACAGTGTGTTCAAACAGCAGCTGCTGCCCTAATCACCCCACAGGAGCAGGGGGAGATGGAGAAGCCCTCAGTGGTAATCAGGGCTGGCAGCTGCTGCTCACACCAGCTGATGGTGCCAAGTGATCAGAGCGGGTGCTGGGCACTGGCAGTGGGTGCGAGCACCGGGAGGAACCACAGCATTTGCGAGCAAAGAATTTTCAGTAACCTCCAGAGGCTCACCCTGATGACAGCGACTGGTGCCCTGCCTTAGTCTGGTGCCCCTGTTCACTTGCTCCACCATCCTGCTGTTGCCAATGCCTGCCATGTTCTGCACACACCCACTGCTGGTCAGCACATGTCATAACGACCTGTTGTTCAACTGTTTCGTTGTTCTGGTTGTTCCACCGTTTGGTTTATTTGCATATTATTAGCCTTTTATTATGTAGCATACTTCAGTGGACATGGTCATAGTCACAGTCAGAGACACTCAGTGACTACATTGAGAGTATTGAAACAAAGTTCAAGATTCCTACCCAGATTTTTATATGAATTATTAATGTAGCACCCACAGGATTATTTATCACATTTGACAGTACTGTAGACAAATTCCAGAAGAGATAAGCCCCAATTCAGAAGAGATTGTATGCTCTGATCTACACTTGGTTATTTATTTTCAAACCCTCTAAGAACTCTTTCCAAAGGAAAGACATCTGTAATTCTGTAGGTAACATAATTTTTAAATATACCAGCATCAACAATCATATCAGCATTTACAGAGCATTTGTCATGTAGTAGGCATTGTTCTGAGAATTCACAGCAATTCCATGTGTTAAGTGTCATTGTCACTTATTATGTTTCAAAGGAAGGATGCTCACAGAGGCTGTGACTTCCAACCCAAAAGGTACAAAGCAACAACATCAGGATTCCGTCCTGATCACAGGACTCCACCAGAGCCTACACCCCTTGCTACTACCCTGTTTCCCAAAAAATAAAACAGTGTCTTATATTAATTTTTGCTCCCAAAGATGAGTTAGGTCTTATTTTTCCAGGAAGAAGAATATGGTACACATTTATTGTTAAATGAAAATAAAGGAAATTTATTACCTGTATACGGTAAGGTAGTATGGTAGTTGTCAACACAAACCAGACAAACTGTGAATCAAGAATTTACTCATTTATTCAATGACAATCATGTCATCATCTTCTGGAACATCATCATAACAATCCAATTCCTGAATTTCATGGTGAATTTCTTGTGACTCCATTTCTTTCAGAATCAGTGGACCAAATCTCTCATGTTTAGCCTAGGGGGGCCTTATTTCTGGGGGGATGCCTTATATTTCACTCAGAAGGAAACCTGTAAGTAGGTCTTATTTTCGGAGGATGTCTTATTTTCGGGGAAACACGCTACTAGTATGTTTCTTTTTCTGTGGAAGCTTCAGATATCTTTGGATCAAAATTTATCTTTCTCTGTGTGTGTCTGTGGGACAGTTTCATTATAAGGCAGTCATATACATAATTTAGAATATGTAAATGTTTTAATGATTATTTAAAAAAAACATAAAATGAAAAATTTCATACAGGGAACCCCCAGAGCTCTGAGATTATGTCCATGGATCCTGAGGAATCCATTTAAAAAGTTTGTAGTCAATATCTTCCTGATGCATTTGATTTGAAAATCTCAGAGCAAAGTTCATCTTGATCTCTATTCTGATCATTTCACAAAGGGACTGCAAACAGGCAGAGTACTTCTAGGTCAAAGGTCACTCAGCAGGGCTGTTCTCTGGGTCAGTGAATGTGGGTCGTTTGAAGGGCTTTGATGGACGGGCTCTAGGCCTACTCCCAGGATTTCAGATTTTAAAGAACAGGTCTCAGCGTGATTATGGTGCTGGTGCTGCTGCAGGTCTGTTGATCACATGTGGGAACCACTGCCCTAAAGCCAGCCTGGCAGACGGTCCTCAGATGGTTCAGAACAGACCCCCTGTAGCAGGCTACCTGCACCCCACAGTGCTCAGTCTCTGCACATGATGCCCTGGGAGACCTTATCTGTAAAGGAGACTGAACTGAAGATACATTAGTCCTAACACTCCGTGATATAAATGAATAGTCTAGAACCTGGTAAAAAGGTTTTCTCTTATGAAAATACCAAATTACCTTAGTCATTACCATCCCTTGGTGAGTTCAATTGAGTATATAAAAGTAGAAATAAAACTTGTTCGTGATAGCCTGGGGGTTCAGGTTTCAACATATGAATTTGGGAGGCGGGGACAATTCAACATCTAACATCCTGTTTCACAGACATTTTTCGATCATCCGCTCTGTGAGCTACCAGGAAGCTACTCCAGTTCTTAGGTGGCTCCCACACTGCACCAGTATCCCCTCTGCAGGGAAGCCTGGAGCACCCACCACTTGAGTGGGACACGTGGCCAACACCATTGATCTCAGAGCCCTGAAGGATCTCTGTAGACAGAGAGGCGGGCTTTGTAGACACTCGAGGTGGGTCTTGCTAGTTGGTAGAATTCACTAGCGGAGGCAGTCAAGAGGCCTTCCCAGAAAGGAATAATAAGAAAAGAACATGGGCCAAGAGGCACGGGAAATGGCTTGGGAGAGATGTTACTCTACTGCCCCTGCGTTATATTCCAGGTAGCAGTATTATCCATCACAAACAGCACACCTGGTCCCACACCAAAGGCCTCCTAAGCCAGGAGGGTTTCCACTTACCTGGAGTCACACTGCCCTATCCGCCCCAAGAAAACATCCGTGCACCCCCCTCTTGGCCCACACCACTGCCGCCTCCACACAGCCTTGGTGGTCTTCACCTCCTCATCAGCAGCAAGGTTGCCTCCAGGGTCTAGTCTCCAGCACGCAGGTGTCTGTAGGCATTTCAGTGCCGGTAGGATGAGAGCTGTGTAAATTCTTGGCCATGGCACCATTTGACCCACTCTTTCTTTAGTGAAATATAATTTTACAAAAAGCCCTTGGAACTCCCGTGCTCTATAAGATGTCATTAGGATCCTTCCCAGTGGACGGCCGGCCAGGGTGCCTTCTCAGGGCCTCTTTCATTTGCCCCCAAGTGGGTGCGTTCAGAGTGTCTGTCACGTTTTCCATCCCAGTTTCACACCTCCATGGAGGTCAGTGCCCAGCCCTGACCTGTGACCCCGCCTGGTCTGGCAGTGCTGCCTTTGATCGGCTGGATGACAGAGGTGATTAGGACCAGCTCCGTGAGCCCTGAGCCCGAGTCCCACTGCCTGAGCTTGGGGATAATTTATGGCGTGTGAGCATCGGCCTTTGGAAGGGAGTATAAATCATGTCGTGTTGATGCAGCCTGCCTCCCGGAAAGTCCTGATAAAAGGGCGAGGATTCACATTTCCCCACACGAAAGAGAAAGAGGCAGGGATGCCTAAATGGGAACAGCTGAGCCCAAAACATAGAAGGTCCCCCTCGTTCGCTCCACCTCCTGGGCATACAGTCAGTGCTCCCCTGAAGACCAAAAAACCCTCGCATGTTCTATGGTCAGTAAGTCTGCCCATGTCTGCCTTCCGTGATGCTGTCTGCGGGGCTGGGTGTCCTTCAGCCTCCCAGATGGAACAGAGCCCCTCTCCTCTCTCAGGGCACGATGAGAAGGCTGAGAATGCGGTGAGAGCCGGAACCTGCTGCGCTTCATGCAAGGAGTTTCACCAGATGAAGCAGACGGTGCTGCAGCTGAAGCAAAAGGTACATGCCCTGCGTGTTAGACACAATCACAGAACGGGAGCACTCGGCAGAGATAAAGTGGACGGATACTTAAAAATGAGAAGGAAATAAATCTACAACCTCATTGAGCATTCCCTGGGGTTGGTGCCAACTAGGGTTAGGCTTGAACGCTTTGCCCTCCATCCTCAGAGCTGACCGTCTGAGGGGCAGCAGAACACAATGAAGGCAGGGCATGGGCTGGGTTGACTAACAGGCCCCCAGGTCAGGGGACGTGGTGGAGCTGTGGAGGATGAATTAAGACGATTGAGACTTTTTGTGAAATGATCATCCAGACACATGGCCCTGGGGCCAACATAGGTGATTCTATTTTATCTGATATTTTGCCTATATTCTGTCAACAGGAACATCCTCTCTATATACTTACTTAAGCTGGTGATGACTTTCTGTGGCAGCTTTATTTTTCACATTTAAAAATGATAGCTTGTGCTTTGGTCTCCGTGCACTTCCGATAGCAGCCATTTGGGTACCCTGGTCACCAAGGGTAAGGACTGACTCTCCCACGAATGCCTGGCAGAACATCAGGGTTCTAATAATAGCGGTGTGCTGAGGTTAATGCCCTGAGATGGACCTGGTAAATCCTTACACCTACAGTCAATCAATCATTTCACCTGTTTGCCAGCAGCTCAGACATTGTGCTTATGCTGATAAAACATAAACTCTGGGTTTAGAAGGAGGATCTCTATATCCCCTCTGAGCTTTAATTGGCTCAGATGGAGGGAAATTATCAATAGTGTGAAGAGTCTCCTGGCAGTGGAGCCATGGCTTCCTGACCGGGGTTTCTCTTCTCTCTGCAGATCGCTCTACTCCCCAACAGTGCTGCCGACCTGGGCAAGTACAACACTGGTGACAAGGTGCTGGCCTCAAACGCCTACCTTCCAGGGCCACCTGGCCTGCCTGGGGGTCAGGGCCCTCCCGGTGAGTGTGAACAAGGGCATTGAAGGGCAAGAGTCAGCAGCCAAGGGCTCACGGTTAGTGGGTGCTGACGGAGTTCTCTAGCTTCCATGGATGAGAGCAGAAGCAGGAGTCCAGGAGTCCACCTGTGTGGCCAGAGAAACCCTCATAACCAACAGTAATTTGGGAGAAAAAGGTCATTGTCCTGGGCTTGGATAAGATTCTTAGAGACCATTTTAAACTACAGAGAAACAATATGAAAACTATTTTTTAACATTGATTTATATAAAAATAGAATGTGTAGTGAACTCCTACAGATTCATTGCCCAGCTTTGTGGACTCAGGGCCAGCCTGGTGTCCACTATTCCCTAGGTCTCCCAGATGCGGAACCCTATACTCTTGACCACTCTCCAGTGGATGGGATTCAGAGGAGCCAGCAGTTCTAAGAGATGTGAAAGAGGCAAAATGTAGAGGAACTGGTCACATATTGGATGAGGGGTTGTGGAAACAAGGAAATCTATAGGAAGACTTTCAAGATTCTGGTTTGAGTGGGCAGGTGGTTTATGACAAGAGAGGGAGATGTGGAAGTCCATTTAGACTGGGTTAAATTTAAAATGCCAGGGAGAATCCCAGAGGAGGTGTCAGAAGGCACAGGGCAGAGTGCACAGAGAAATGGCTGCAAGGGCTCACAGACTTGTGAGCCAGCGCCCTGGCCTTCCTCGCAGGATGCGGAGCTAATGAGCTGTTCTTTGATTGCAGGCTCGCCAGGACCCAAGGGCAGCCCAGGCTTCCCGGGTATGCCGGGCCCTCCTGGGCAGCCCGGCCCACGGGGCTCCATGGGACCCATGGGACCACCCCCTGACCTGTCCCATATTAAGCAAGGCCGGAGGGGCCCTGTGGTCAGTATTTTCTCAGCCATCCACTTGCTGTTGTTGAGGGAAATCGTGTTCTTTTTCCCTGCTTTTTCCTTCTGTTAAATGAGATCCCTTTGTCTTACAGGGCCCACCAGGTGCACCAGGAAGAGATGGCTCTAAGGTAAGTCTCATGAGTGATCCTTAACAGCCTAATGTTTCCCAAGTTCAGTAAAGCTCAAGCACTGTTTACTGTCCCCATTGTGCATGACAAAATTGAGACACAGACACACACCCCCAAAAAGCTGGGAAGAAAATCTAAAATGCAATTTCCTTAAAATATGAAATTACCATAATAACAAAACAACCACCAAAAGCACTCCTAAGAGAGATTATGTCTATGAATTTTTAAAAAATATTTTATTTGTTAAACTGATTGGGGTGACATTGGTCAACCTGAACATATAGGTTTCAGGTGTGGGTTTCTATGTTGCAAAATTTGTATATTGCACCATGTGCCAATCACCCAAAGTCAAATCTTCTCCTGTCACCTTATATTAGGGTCCCTTCCTCCCAACCCCCTCCTATGAATCGTAAGCCCCTGTGTTGTCAGAGTAACACATGCTTTTCTCTTTAGCCAGTGTTCTTCTGTAGGGCTATTTTGTGTGTGATGTGCTTAAGTCAACAGCAGCACGTCCCTTCTGTGCAAGTGGGGGTGGTTTCACTTTGAGAGCTGCCTGCTCCTTGCCTCATAAAGTCAGTGTGAGTTCCTTTAGAAAGCTCCTAAATTATTCCACACCCTGCCTGGAAATGCAGGCATTCCTCTTGTCAGATCTGGTTTTAAAATATATGACCTCGGGGAAAATATGAATGAGAGACACTTGACCCAAGCAGCCTGTTCAAATAAGTGGTCCCATGAGTCCAGCTGAAGCTTACATTTGTTTCTGATGGAAAATATTTGTTGTTTTGGGCAAGGAGATGGTCATGGCGGGAGTCTATACAGACACTAACCCTGACCTTTCTCTGCTTTTAGGGGGAGAGAGGAGCTCCTGGACCCAGAGGGTCTCCGGTGAGTAGCACCATCCGCCTCGCTTCCCCAAATGATCCCAGCTCTGAGAAGCCTGTGAGTTGGTCTTAAGAGCAAAAGCTGGCTTCCTCCGGCTATCACTCAACCCGCCCAAACAGAGCGCGGTGGTTAGGAGGGGAATCAGGGAGGCCTACAGCAGCTGCTTGGAATTTATTCTGAAGTTTTGTTTTCCATTTCTTTTTCTTTTTATCATGGCTAATCTTTATTTGGAATGTCTTAAGATTCAAAACCTCAGTATGCCATGGGTCTGTTTTCAAGTATGTCATAAAACATCTGACGGAGATGAGAAGAGAAATTTCTAGCACAGCGTGGAGGTTCTCTCCACTTCATTTAGTTTGTAGTTATTGTCAGTCAGCCTCTAAACACTAATAATTTTGTCTTAAAAGATAATTTTTTTTAGCATTTACTGTGGTCTCAGCCCTTTGCATTTATTAACTCATTTATAGACACACTTGGAAGCCTATGAAACCAAATGAATCGAGTCTGTTATCTCCTTTTTATGGATGGGGAGATGGAAACCCAAAGAAATTAAGTAACTTGCCCAAGACCAGCTAGTAAGTGGCAGTGTTAAGATTCAAACCCAACAGAGCCCCACTCTCTCAAAACCACCACTGGAGACCCCTACTCTCTGCCTCTATAGCGTCGTCCAGGTTTCTTTGGAATATCACATTGGAAAGGTTATTCTCCTATTCTTTCATCCTGCCAGATTTAATATACCCTAGAATTGGGAGGGAAGAGAGGTTGTACATGTGGTGAGGGAATCAGAAGGCAATCTAAAAAATCCCCCAGGCTATGCTAACAGTCTGTATGTATTCTCCATTTGGAATCCGGAATTATTGACTCAGTAGATGCAATCACACAGCAGACATTATTGACTCAGTAGATGCCAGCACACAGCAAACCTTCACTTTGCAAGGGGCTGAGTCTGTGGTTCTGGCTTTAATTCCTCTCTTGCACAGGGGCCACCTGGTTCTTTTGACTTCCTGCTGCTGATCCTGGCTGACATCCGCAATGACATCGCTGAGCTGCAGGAGAAGGTGTTCCAGCACCAGACTCTCTCTCCTCACTCTTCGGCAGAGGAGTTCTTACCTCAGGAATTTGCCAGCCATCCGGAGACCATGGACTTGGGCTCTGGAGACGACTACTCAAAGGGGACTGAGACAAGAGACGTGGGGACCCCCAGGGACTTTTATCCTTAGCACAGGCCAGCATCTTCATGCCAGAGGAAGAGAACTTTGCACACCTGCAGTTAAATCATATAAAGAGAAGACAAGAAAACAAAACCCACCACTGGAAACCTAGACAAGATACATTTAAATTGTCTTTGATCTTTTCCTGATTCTTCCTACTTTTTTTCTCCTCCCAAATACTATTTTCAGAGGCCCCTCCTAGAGGTATTGGTTATATGAGAGAGCAAATGATTGGTTTACATACTTCCCTCTGAGAGCAGTTGACATCGGAACTGCTCTTTTATTTATTTATATATTTTTGGAACTTCTGAGTTTCTGAGTTAAGTATTCTCACAGTATCTTAAATTTGATAGAATAAAAGGGAAAAGTGGCAAGGGGTCAGCTCCAAAAAAATGTTAGGTTTCTTATTTAAAAAATTAGACACGTGTCCAAAAGAGACTATAACTCTTCAGTATCAAAACAAGACTCTTCAATGAAAAGGGCAAGACAACAGTGTATATTTACTTTGGTGGATAATTCTTTGTCCTTGTTGATCTAACAGATGTTCAATATTCCAGCCTCCTGTCCAACTTCACTTCGCAATTTCAATGAAAGATAGGAGAAAGTGAAGAAAGAGCAGAGATTAGGGAAGATGGAGAAAATTAGTCATAATATTTATTGTTATATAGGTTGCTACATTCTAAATTCAAATACAACTATTAAATGTACACATCATGCTTGTCTAAAAGTATCCTCCTCAGAGAAAAAAGTTACGTAGATGTAGGACTGAGTCATCTTTTTAAAAAAGAGAGGTGAATAAGCACCCTGATTCACATTAGGACAATGGGTTCCTGTTTTGCCAGGACATTGTAGAGCTGTTTGATTAAACAAGTGAGCCTGTTCAGTAAATCACAGATTATTGGTTGAACAAAGGTGGCTGACCCTTAGAGAGAGTTGCAGATATTCCCAGGCTCTGATTGGGTGCCCATTAAAGAAACAGAGGTGCCATTAGACTATGATTCAGGTTGAGTCGATGCACAATGGGACTCAGGGCTAGAAGCAGGTGGCTGGCTCTGGTTGTTGGCTAGGGAGAAGGGGAACCGTGGGCAGGGACCCCACTAACCACAGAGACAAGTCATTTGCTCTCCTCAGAGCTTGCCAGCATAGAGAATGATACACTATTGAAAGTTCTAAATGTGGAAGGGGGAAAAACAATTTGGCAGAAATTTCCTCCCCACTAATCCCTTTTTTCCTTAATTGCCCACCATTTAGTTCAAGTTCCAGATGTTGCAGGCCTTCTCATTGATTTCCCTTTCCCAGCCAATGTGGAAGGCCTGGGAAAGGGGTATATTTCCACCTCCCATCCTCAGTGTTTGCTTGTACACTGCTGGGTCCCAGGGGAAGCAGGCTCAGTAGTAGGCTTTCTCTGGATCTGCAAAGGCAGGAGTGAGAGGAAGCACTCCCAAGAACCAGCAGGAGTGGCTTCTTCCTTCTGTCGTTGAGGAACCGCTTAGCTTTGAGGGCAGCGTGCAGGTTCCTTGAAGTACAAGTTCTCGTTTGACACACGGACTGGCTTTTCATCCACCTGGTCAGGAGCCCTTTACCCTTACAGTGAACCTCACCAGTTATCCTGCCTCAGTTCATGTTTGCTTGTGTTGGGGTTTCCATTTCCCATCCTATATGATTCCCCCTCCCTTCATATTTCTGGGAGATTCATGTTCAGTTTTCTTTTCCCATCATTTAACTCTCTTCCTGGGAAACTGGTTTCAAGAGAACTGCTGTTGGTGTTTGGATGCCACTGTTCCAGCTTGCTTCAGGTTGACGGGAAGGGCTACTGTTTGAGAATCTCAAGTGACAGCAGCCTTCCCTCCCATCATTAGAGACTCAGGACTCCAGTCAGTCAGCCAACGGCCAAGTTTTTCACAAGCAAGTCCATCCTTCTTCCTTGTGCAAAATTCCTAAGAACTGTCCACCAGAACGTCACAGCTGAAAGCCACAGGTTCCCAACGCTCCTCTCCTGGCACTTCCCTTCCCTCTCCAACCTGGGTTTACGAGGCAATGAACTGAGCGGCTGTTGCTTCACATCTGGAATATATGTAATGTTTGCCTGCTTGTGGAGTACAGTATTTAAAGGGTGTGGGTGGATGAATGCTAAAGAAAATTGTGCACAAGCTCTATGAGAAATTATTAAGTCTGTCTTTGATTTTTTTTTAATGAGGAATTTTATTGCCTTTCCTTTTAACAGTTAACTGTGTTTAGAACTATAATTTTTATTGCTAAATGCTCACAAAATGCAAGCAAGCTGCATGGTGGACATGCAGAAGCTAGGATAAATATATTAAAAGTGTGAACTGATGGTAGTAATATCTTGGATTCATGAGACTATTCTAGATAATATTCTCCAGCAAAACACACAATAACCTCTATCATCTCAGTCTGCTGGATCAGGTCAATTTATAAAATAATTTTTCATCCTCGGATTTTCAACAGTTGGACTAGGACCACAGGACTAAATATGCACTCTGGATGCCCAAATTATATTTTTCAAATATAAGACATAATAAGGCACTGTTATTTCTAACGTATCTTCCAGTTATAGATAGAAAACCAAAGCTTCCCTATCTAAACAGGCCAGCTGCTCAAAACCGAAAGGAAAAGCCACTTTGGGGGTAAAATTTGCTGCAGTTTTGCTAAACCACTTCATGGTTCAAGGGGGAAAGGTCTTTGTAACCTCTTTACCCCTCCAGCAGAAATGTGGACTCCCATGTTTTACACCCTGATAACTAGGACTTGTGAATAGGACTTAAATAGATTGCTTCTGTTTCAGGACAGCGATGAGAATAACAATCTGCTATCAGAAACAGTGCAGAGAAGGCGACCATTTTAGTTTGGGAATATCTTCCTCCCTTCCCAGTTCCAGAGAAAGAAAGTATAAGCTTCACTATGCCAAAGGGCATGGGGTACAGAGGGAAGGCAGGCAGTCTTCTCTCTTCTTCCCTGTTAATTCCCACACCTGCCACAAAATGAATTGACCGACTGAAGTCTTTTCTATTGTATAAATACAGACAGGTGTGTCCACAGTTAAATAGGTAAATGATAAATTGCACGTGGACATCAGTGATAGTATCACCCCACCACATACTAGGTGGAGGGCACCCTGGTTCTGGTCATACTCCCTCTCTAGGGTTCGTGACTGCTTTGGTCTTGTGAGCCCCATTTCTGGACATGCTGGGAAAGACAGTCTGCGTGCCAGATGTGTCCTTGGGGTGAGAGCAAATCCCTCATCGTACTTTGAGTGTTACTCCCCCTGTCTTTCCCGCCCCCCCCCCCCCACTCCAGCCTATCACAGAGAGAAGCAGCCTCATTGTGCACATTTAACATCTATCAACTAGCCTTCCTGAAAAAGACTTGTATTTGCAGGAATCTGGGCCAAACAACTAGTATAGAGCCATCTGAAATTATTAATAATGAATTCATGGAAGTTGGTGGATTTTCTCTGGCACTGTCAGCATGTATGTCTCACAACAAATCAAAAAATGATTTTCCATTTGAGAAAAAAAAAACACATTTGACCATGACATAATTGTTAAAAATTTTTGGTTTCACGTGCTCCTTCAACAAATACTATCAGTGCTTTAGGGAAACCATAGGAAGAAGAGCTTTCCACATCCCCCAGGGACCTCGGTGTTCTTTGTTATTTCCCCAAAGCAAGTACCCTGGGGGGTGTCATCCGTGTGGGGACTGCCTTTACTGCCCAGGGACTAGTCTTATTCTTCAGCAACTATTTTGTTCATTATTTATAAGAGGTCCACATAACAGCTGAGCTAGTATGCCAATAATAATGGATATGATACTATGAAGTACTTTTGATAAGATTGTATATGCTTAATAACAAAGTTATTTTTCTTATGTGGTTGTTCTGTGTTTTGTCCTGATACGCAGTCCTGTGCAATGTGTTGTCTCTCTACAAGATGAAGACAAGGGAAGCAGAGAGGGATCTATCTCCAGAGTTGGAACCTCTATTCTGGGTAGGCCACCTCCTGGGATACCACTATGGTCCCAACATTTGAGCCCAAGTCCAGGTCTGAAGGCCTAGGTCCCACTCAGAGGCCCACATTCCCCAGATGTGATCCTCTGGGACCACAGGGTAGAGTCTTCAAACCAGGGACCCCCAGGGAATCACTGGAGGTGCCTATGGCGCTCATGTATGGAGGGTCTATGAGGGTTTTACTACACTGCACCTCAAGCAACTCAACTTTTAGTTGGTTTTGGATTAGAATTTCTCATTAGGTTTCCTTTGGAGGGGGAAAAAATGACTACCTTAAAATGGTTAAAATAGATAGAGTTGAGGGGAGGAAGCCTCATGAGTTGGTAAGTGAAGTGAGGATCCTATGTGAGGATCAGAGGAAGGGAATTTTCATTAGCTCGGCCATATAGGAGGCAGTTCTCCTATATAATAAAAGCCTAATATGCTAAGTGTCTGGTCATCTAGTTGTCCATTCAACCAATCAAAGTGTAATATGCTAATGACATGCTAAGGCTCTCAACCACTTGCAATGGGGTGCACTGACCATAAGGGGCAGTCAACTGGTCAACCAGTCATTATGATGTGCACTGACCACCAGGGGACAGATGCTCTGATTGGTAGGTTAACTTGTTGCTGGAGTCTGGCTGATTGGGACACGTCCTGGAGCTCTCCCGTGGTCCCTTCCTGGCTGGTCAACCTTCTATAATATATCCCTCCCCAATCCTGATGATGCACTGGTGGGGTCCCTTGGCTTGGCCTGCACCCTCTCTCAATCCTGGACCTTCAGGTGATGTCGGAGAGCTGGTTTTAGCCTAATCCCACTCAATGCAGGAGCTGCCCCCTAGTCATCAGTGCACATCATAGTGAGGGGTTGAGCAGCCTTACCATATCATTAGCATATTACACTTTGATTGGTTGAATGGCTGACCAGACAATTGGACACTTAGCATATTAGGCTTTTATTATATAGAATAGTATTATAGTAATGTATAATAATGTATTC